CCCGGGGGCTGCGGGGCGGGCGCCCTCGGGGACCCCAGGAGAAGCCGAGAAGTCGCGAAGCTCGGAGCCGTAGTTCGGGCCCTCCGGGCCGTTGGCGACCTGTGCACCAGGTTCAGAGATCAGAGACGGCGGGCAGCGTCATGCAGCCGCGCCTCCCGCGAGTCGCCCTCCGCACTCACCGGCCCAGGCTCCGATGCTTCGGGCCCCTTGCCCTTGGTGCTTCCGGCCAGGGTCTGGGGGGAGCAGTGAAACGCAGAGGGGCTCTGCGGGGTAAGAGGTCAGGATTATCTCTCCGCACAAAGGAGAGCGAGGAAGAAAGGGGGCAGAACCCCAGTGTCCACCTGCAGGCGGCGCTGGAGGGCTGAGCTAATCGTACACCGCGCTGGGTAAATACTCATTGCTATGGTCACTTGGATACTTCGGCCTCGGCCTTCTTCTGCACGGGACGGGGATGACACCCACCTTAGTGTTCTCTGTGAGGGTGCAGAGTGACTTAGCCAGCACTGTCTTGGCGCACAGCTCGGTTTGGCACCTGCGGTCCTTATTCTCTTCACATCACTCTGCTCTGTCCACTCCGCTACCCGGAAAGGGAATGCCTAGCACTGCCTGCTGCCTTTTTCAAGTCTGGGGGTAAACTTCTCACCTCCACCTCCTTTCTCTACCAGCACAATGTCCTGGGGCATCTTCTCGTGGGAAGAAGGAAAAGGCGTCCTGCATTTTTCCATCTGTGATCAAATTTAATCTGAACAGACCCTGCCTGCCTCTGACTTGACCCCGGGCACGTGGCTATTTCTTCCCTTTTTTTTTTTTTTTTTTTTTTTTGGAGACACCAGAGTGGGTCGCTCCAAAGCCCAACCCACTTTATGTTTTGTATTTGGGGAAAGATGGCTAAAGAGCATTTGTCAAGGATCACGCTGCCAGGTGGGAGCCCACATGATGGGAACACCAGTCTCCCAGTGGGAGCTTGAGGGACTCTCCAGGGTCCAGAGGGGCTCAGCCTGTTACTCTGAATTTAAGCCAAACACCAGCTCCCTCTTGGCCTCGGTTTCCCTGTGGGCACAGTGGAGGCTTTACTCACCGCCTGCTGGCTGGCTGCAAGCTCAAAGGTGAACCTTTGTACCCGGCGCTGCCTCTTCTGGAAGAGGAGAGAGCCCCGGTTGTTGCGCAGCGACAGCTCCTCTATCATCAGGTCCTGGGGCACGCTCACCTTCTTCCCCAGGTCCAGAGAAGGTTCTGCACAAGAGGCCAGAGCGAGCTCTCACTGTGTACACTAAGGCAGCCTGGCCCGGCCTCTAGAGCCCTGGTAACAGCGTTGCAGGCCCCGTGTGAGGATGGATCTTCCTTCCCACTCTTGAAGACAGGGGGAATCATCCTTTGGAATCTTTGCCCACCCACCCCATGGGCGAAAATGGTACCTCAGAGTTTAATTGGCATGCGTGTCATGTTTGGTGAAGTTGAGGGCTGTTTCAGAAGATCTTTGACCATTTTTCCATAAATTTTCTGCCTGTCTCTTTGACCATGGTGAAGGTAGTGAGAAATGATGAGATTTTTAAATACTTTTCTTAAGTTAGCCACAGGTGTGAGACATGAGAGAAACTGAATGGCTGAAGGTAACCACAAAATTTCTGACCTAAGCCACCAGAGGGATGGAGCAGCCACCCACTGAGATGGGAAAGGTGGGGGAAGGAGCAGGTTTGAGGAAAGATCAGGAGCTTGGTCTTACACATGTGCCATTTTGTTTTATTTTATTATTTTGAAATGGGACCGTTATGGCTCATGTCTAAATGTCCCCCCAAAGCCTTGTGTGGTCATAGTGGGGCATTTTCAGAGATGGCTGTATCTAGGGTGTGTGATGCTGGGATCGATTCATGGTGCAATGCTAGGATCAAGAGCACTAGGATTAAGGGTGTGAGTGCTACTCAATCTAAGTAGCCTGGATAAGATACAAGGGATAGAAAGAACTGTGGTTGTCCTTTGTTGCTTTGCTGCCTTCTGCCCACCATGAACAGTTTCTCCTCTGCAGTGCCATTATGCCATGGAGCCAGCTGACTGTGGATTCAAATCTCAGTAAACTGTGAGCTAAATAAACCTTTCCTCCTTTAACTTTGGGTTTCAAGTATTTTGGCTCAGCAGTGAGAAAAGTAACTAAGATAGGGCCTTGCTATGTGCCCAGGTTGGCCTCTTGAATGTACCTTCCTCTTGCCTCAGCCTCTCAAGTGGCTGGGGTTACCGGTATGTACCACTGTACCTGGCTATGTGCTATTTTTTTAATAACAAAAGGTTATCCTAAAGAGAACCAGGTGCAGTGGCACATGTCTATAATTCCAGCTACTCAGGATGCTGAAGCAGGATTGTAAGTTCAAGGCTAGCCTGGGCAACTTAGCGAGAACAGGCCTCAAAAAATAAAATAAGAAAGGCATGTATATCAGAAGTAAATCATATACCTATCATGCATAAGGCCCCGTGTTCAAACCCTAGTACCACAAAACAAACAAAACCCCTACACAAATGTATATTGAAAAAAAAGTCAGATAATACAGATCCAAGAAAAAAATACCATTATCTACCATCCAGAGATTGCTTCTATTAACACAGTAGTATACATTCTTTAGTTTCTTTTTCAATAACTACATATTCTTTTATTTTATTTTATTTTTGTTTTTTGTTTTTTGCTTTTGAGACAGGGTCTCACTATGTAGTTGAGAATGACTTGGAACTCACTGTGTAGCCCAGGCTGGTCTCGAACTCACAGTGATCTTCCTGCCTCTGCCTTCTGAGTGCTGGGATTATAGGCATGCCCCACCATGCCAGGCTATAACTACATATTCATAGGTAAGATTTTAATGAAATCATAGCAAATACACTTTGTGTTATGGCTTCTATCTAGATGTCCCCCCAAAGCTTCATGCAGTGACAGTGAAGCTTTTCAGGGATGACTGGATCTAGGGAGTGTATCACGGATGTGAGGCTGGGATGGATTCAAGGTGTGGGGATGAGGATTAAGGCTGCTCCATCCTGGGTGTGAGTGCTGCCTGCCCTAAAGGTCGGTAGCCTGGATTAGATATAAGGGACAGAAAGAGGGTCACTGCTTGTCACTTGTAGCTTGCTGCTTCTCCGCTGCTTTGATGCTCTACTGCCTTCTGCCTGCCAAGAACTGTCTCTCCTCTGTGATGCCCCTCTGTCACGCCACCCTGCCTTGGAGCCAGCCAACTACAGACTGAAACCTCTACAAACTGTGCGCTAAATAAACCTTTCCTCCTTTATTTTTGGGTGTCAGGTATTTTGCCTCAGACATGAGAAAAAAGTAACTGAGACAATTTGTAACTTGGTTTCTATCAGTTAAAGAGGTCCACATTTCCAAGTGAATGTATTTTTGCTTTATCTAATATATCCAGTCTATATCTACACTCTCTAAATTGTCCTCAAAAGTGGGCGTATTCAGTATGAGAAGACTTGTAGAATTCAACTGGAGATGAGGAGAAGAGAGTTGGATGTGTGATTAGTGTTCGTGGGATAAAACTGACCTGGAGTATTATGAACTTATAAGTTGTATTTATTGGCGCTTTTCAATGAAAAACATGCATTTATTTCTCTTGTCATGGTTAGGCTTAGTTATTGTTACCATGTAGGGCAGCAATTCCTAGTCTTTTCAGCACTAGTGACGGATTTCATGGAAGACAGTTTCCCACTGGGGTAAAGGTAGGGGGTGATGGGAAGGTCAGGATTAGATTGTCCCAAGGAGTTCGCAAGCCAGATCCTTCACAGGCATCACGCCTAGTGCGCAATGGGGGGGCATGATCCTGTGTGACTCTAAAGCAAGAGCACATCTGAGGAGAGGCAGCGCTCAGGCAGTGGTGGGAACCATGGATGTAGAGGATTCCCAGGACTCCTGCCTGACCTTAGTAGGTTGGAATCCATCCCCTACCTTTGTATTTTCCGTGCTAGGAAAAATGGGAAAAATGCATACTTTTACATTAGGCTATTAGGGAAGTTTCTTAGAGGACGGAAATGACAGAATAGTGAGGACCTTACAGGAGAGGGTTCTTTGTGGGCAGCATGGCCATGTCGCCTGTCTGTAAAATTAGACGCAGGGTTAGAGGTATAGCCCACTGGGAGAGTGCTGCTGGCTTAGCACTTGCAAGACCCTGGGTTCGATCCCCAGCACAGCAAGAAAGCAAATTTAATTAATTAATTAATTGAAATATCCATAGATTGATAGGCCAGCTCTATAAATGGCATTTGAAGCTGGAAGACTGGATAAGATCAGGAAGAAAGGAGAATAGATAAAGAGCCCCCGACACTGAGCACTGAGCCCTCCAACGTTTAGACTGAGGAGAGGAGCCAGCCCTGGTGCCTGTGAAGGAGCAGTCGGTGAGGTGGGGGACATCGGAAGAGGGTGGCGTCGTGGAAACCACAGGATGGAACTTCAGGGCCGGTAGAGTGACAGTGGAATCAAATGCTGCTGATATGTCAAGTCGGATGGGGCTGAACACTCGTATTTAGTAACTCGGGGCTGTTGATAACCTTCATTAACACAATTTCTGTGGAGCATTTGGGTATGGACACCTGTTGGAGAGGGTTCAAGAGTAAATGGACAGGGGACGAAGTTGAATCACACCCATGAGTAGGGAGCCAAAGTAACTGGGCCTGCGGGGCGTTCTACGGGACGACTGGCCTGGTTTCTGCTAATGTGTGAACAACATGGAAATACAGAGGGGAGAGGTTGTTTCACATTAAAAGAGATCTAAGAGACACAGCAACCAAACAACCACCATGGTCCTTGTTTAGATCGTGATTAAAACAAACTGGAAAACTGGATAACACTGAGTATGAGGCTAATTATTAGATATTATTAAACAATTGCTGCCAATTTCAATCAGTGTGTACCTCTTTCTGTGGCATATAAAGAAACATCCCCTTTTTTATTACTTTGGATGCATGCTGAGGAATCTGGGGGAAGAAACGCCATGTCCCTCGGCTTTAGCTTTGAGATCCAGGGATGAGGGAGGGACTGTGAGGACCTCTGCACCCCACTTTTGTGTGTTGGACACAGGTAAAGTAAAACGTTAAACAGAAGATGGGAAGAAAATGTAGATAACAACTCGGGCTTCAAAGGGCTGTGGTGCAGGCATCAGTGGGATAAGAGGCGCTCCTTGTGAAGGGCAGAGAATGGCATACGTGCTGGCCATGGGAACTTGAGCAATGCAGGAGCGACAGGACAAGTGTGGGAGGAATGGCCTTGAGCCCAAGGTGGGCAGGCAGGGTCTCAGGCCCAGCTAGAAGGGTTGGGCCAGACAGGTGTGAGAAGCGTCCACCGCCCTCACAGGCAAGAACATCAAATAAGGTGCAAACAAGCAGACATATGTGGCAGAGGGAACTTGAAGATGTTCTATTTTAGCAACTTTGTTTTTTCCCAGTGAAAGAAGCAACAGCGTCGTTAGCTGAAAAAGATGCGGGAGGAGGCAGTAGAGGTGTGAAGAGAGGAGAGAGATTGCCGCGGTTAACTAAGAGAGCAGCACCAAGAGCCGCAGCCTGCAGGGACGGACGTGGCTACAGCGGCACTAAGGACCACAGGGTGCCGCGCCTTCTTCCATTCTGCAGAGTCCTAAGCGGCCACTAAGAAAAGGAGGTGGCCTTTTTTAAATTCTTTCAACAAATATATAAAGAGCACTTTGTAAATGCTAAGAACATAAAGATCTCTGCTGTAGGGTAAGTGGAGGGGGAGGGAAAGTTTCAGAAGAAAATGTATTCTAAGATTCCATTTACAAATAAAAAATGGGTGTAGTGCATGGTTTTAAAGGCTTGGCAAGGAGACATGCCAAGTATTAGCAGTGGTTATTTATGGCTCATAGGAAGGAAGATGGCCAGAAATTGTCTCTGCTTTTTGTTGTTCTTTTTTAACAGGAAAATGTACGGAATTCTTAAAAATATGAAAGAAGACCCAAATACATAATAAAAATTGACCCCCCATCATATTCTTAATTATTATGCAGATGAACTGCGCTCATTGGTTCTGTTTAGTCTGGTTTTTAAGATAAAACCTATTTGACTAATTCTATTTCTAGAAATTCATTCTTAGGGAAGGAGATGAAAAAACATGTGCAAGGCTGTTTGTGCAGTGGGGTCTAAAATTGGGAAAACCGGGAGATCGCTCTTGGGATGGAGGTGCCTAGATGTTCCTTATTAGTGGCGAACAAACAGTTCACAAGTTCTACAGAGAACAGCTCAGGAGAACAGAAGTTGCTGCCAGCCTTGCCCAGCAGGTAAATTCTACAGAGGAATTCAGGCTCCACAACCCCCCAAAGACACAGCCTGAACTTGGGATACAGCTGGGCCTCAGCCTTGCTTAGCGATTTCTCTTGCCTTCTCCCCAAGAGAACGGGACTCCTTGGATGCTACTCCAGAGCATGTCAGCCAGACCAGCCTTCAGGCCCCAGTAGGGGTGGACCACAGGCACACGACTTGTCCAAACAGTGGTACCCCAGGCACAAAGGGGAGGGAGGCGGACGCGGCCAGCTAAAGCACGCCAGGCTGGAGAGATGGCTATGCTGTGTGCTAAGTGCAAGAGAAAGCAATCTAAGGAACAGTGTTTAGCCCGTGTGTGTATGTGTTTAGATAAATAAATGATCTACAAACAGAAGAATTTGTACAAATATGCTAGCACTGGTTACCTCCATAGGGTTCCATTAGGAGGAACTTTTTCAAAGTAATTATTTTTAAAAATGAATGTGGTATTTTATGTTTTTTCTCTTTTTTCCAGTACCGGGGATCGAACTCAGGAACTTGCACTTGCCAGGTAGGCGCCAGCACCACTGAGCTAAATTCCTAGCATGAATGTGCTATTTGTATAACCATATAGGAGAAGCAGCTCAATTCAAATTCCAGCTCTCCTACCAGCCGCGTGTGTGGTGACCTAGCTCCTCTGAGCCTCAATTTTCTCATCTGCTGAATGGGGAAATTACATAACTTACAGTGTCGTAGCAAGGCTCCAAGGACATGCAGCAAAGAAGTTCCTAGCACAGCTGCTGACACACAGTACCCAGGTAACAAGGACAAGGCAGTATTATTACTGTTATCTAAAATGTCTACTTTTAGGCGGCGAGACCGTAAGATTTGTTTTTCCTTCTTATTTTTTGCATCTCAAAACTGCGTTTAATTAGTGCCTTAGTAAGAATCCAAGAGCCGGGGATTTAGCTCAGTGGTTCGGTGGCCTGCCTCGCAAGCACAAGGACCCGAGTTCGATCTCCGGTACCAAAAAATAAAAAAGAATCCATGAGTTATATGTTTGAAGTCTGGCATAAACGATGTTGGACAAGGTCTACAACTAATTGTCTAGACAAGAGGAAAGAGAATGCATTGCCTGACTCTTCCAGGTAGGGCATTAATACCTCACAAAGTTTGCATATTCCAGCACAGAAAATCACAGAGGATCCAGTCTCAGCAAGGCCTGTCCAGACACTGCAGTGGGCGACCTTACCCTGCAGTGTGTACACAGCCTCAGCCCCTGGTGGGGCCCACTGGACAGGGAAACAGGGCCCGATGACAAGACGGAGCTCCTTTAGCTAGGGAAGAGCTCAAGCTCATACCAGGGGTCATTGAAGGATCCAGGAACAAAATACTGTGCCCTCCTCCAAGTCCGTCCCCTGGGAGTCCTCAGGAATGACCAGCTCCCCATTATTCCTTCCCTTTCAGACACAGTGAGAAGAGGTTTCCTGCCTACGCCTTCTGCTTTTCCCTTTTCTCTGAGGGGAGCCTACCCTCTCCCAGACTCTCTGCAGTCCTTCCCACGAGAAGCACAGCCACTTTTCCTCCCTGGGGCTGTGTCCCCGCTCATCCCTCCTCCTAGGCAACATTGTTTTCCGTTGTGAAGCCCAGACCAAATGTCATCTCTTCACTGCCCCTCAACAGAGGCAGACCCGTCCCTCCCTCTGCTGGACACCACCAGGTCCTTGTCCAAGAGGTGCTATTTCGGGGTCTTTCTCCCAGGACACTTCTTGTAGGTAGGGGCCAGTTCTGCTCTGACACATCTGCTCCTCAGGGCCCTTGGCAGAGCCTGACTTCAGTGAATGGAGGTGAAGTTGCTCATCAGTGACCTTATTCCTAGGAACGGGCTAAGACAGACACAGCGGAGTAGCCCTGCAGGCCCCCAACCCTGTCCTTTGTCATCATCTGCCATCTGGCTCCACAATCAGAGTGGCCCCCACAGTGACACCTCATGGGCAAGGAGTGTGAAGGCCGGGCAGTTGTGGGGGCAGCGACTTCACTGTTGGGAACAGACCAACGGGGGCAGGGAAAACAGCGTAATCCTGGGGGGCCAGCATGTCGGGCTCCAGGCAGCAGTAGCTGCCACCCATTTCATTAGGCTGCTAAAAACTCTAAAGAAGTCACAAGAAAACCCTTCCAATCAGGCAGTTATATGACCCACTATTGCAAAGCAGACCACCCCAAAATGTAGGGACACACACTGAGGCCATTCCCTTAAGTGAAATAAACAGGACAAGTGTGTAAATACCATATAGTTTCTCTGGTATGAAAAACTGAAAGTGTAAATAAGGATTGAAATGTATAATTGATAATTGAAGTAGGCAGAAAAGGTCTAAAGGAGTACGGGAAGTGGGAAGGGTAGGGGAAAGGAAAAGGGAAATTAAGTGAAATAAACAGGACAAGTGTGTAAATACCATATAGTTTCTCTGGTATGAAAAACTGAAAGTGTAAATAAGGATTGAAATGTATAATTGATAATTGAAGTAGGCAGAAAAGGTCTAAAGGAGTACGGGAAGTGGGAAGGGTAGGGGAAAGGAAAAAAGGGAAAAGATAAAAACACGAGAAAAGGAAAAAACAGAAACAAAGTCTTTGCAAATAGGGGAGGGTGGGGGGGGTGACGGGAGGGCAGGGGAACGGGAAAAAAATAAGAACCAAGATATATCATGTACAAGGTCCCAATAATGAATGTAACTGTACCATATACCTAAAATGTACCAATAAACATGGGGAAAGAAAATTACAGAGGAAAATAAATGGGGCATCACCGAAAAGAGGAGAACACACAAAATGGGTTAAAAGGACCACGTACATATGGGGCCGAACAACCTGACGGACATCTCAGTGCTCTGATGAAGCTGAGCACCGAGGGGCTCCTGGACAAGCGTCCACCAGAGCTTGTTCAGGTCACCTGCACTGGAGCCACCTGGACCCTTGCCCGAAAGGTAGCTGTGCAGACCCCACCTCAGTTCCACCAAATCGGAGTCCCTGGGGCCAAGTGCCAGGCAACTGTATTTTTAATTAACAACACGGAGCCACCACCATGCTTTACCCCAAAGCTTGAAAGCACAACATAGTGGATTTTTAAATTACTTGAAATGCTCTAATTTAGTCCAAATAAACAGACTCCCAAATTATACCAGGAGTTCCCGATGTGATCTTAAAAAGTTGATAAACATGAATTTCAGAAAATTTTGTCACTAGATGAACCAGCTTTTAAGTAAAACACTTTGAGTCCAGTTAGGTAGCCTGCTCTGCTCTTTACCCCAGTGGTGTCCCTTGGGGAGTGGGCACCCTGGGCTATGCACAGGCCTCAGTAGGACCTGTAGTCGCACTGAACAAGGGCAGGTATCCTATGAGCTTCCAGCCACAATGAGGGCTGCATCTGGGGCCAGAGCCCGAAGAGCTCAAACTGGGATAGTGGGGAGGTCCGAGATAGGCCTGGAGCCAGGGTCACCTTGGAGCTGGGGCACAGTCTGGGGCACTCAACCTTAGCTCCTAGTCTATGGACTAAGGTGAGGACCCTGCAGAACCTCAGGCAGCCCAGGTGGCAGATTCCACAGGCTCACCCTCCAGCTGCTCTGGAATTCACACCTGTTTGCTAGGCCTGGGGCCAGTGGGCTTGAGTAGCTGTGATCCGGGACCCAGAGGAGTTTCAGGAGAGCATAGGGCTAGGCCCTCTTACCTGGCCCAGTGAAGTCCCCTATGACGGCATCCTGCTGCTCCTTGGGATCCATCATCCTGTGGAAGGGGAGCTCCCACAAATGAGCTAGGTCACTGCCCTTCCTCCCTAGACGTCTTTCTCCCTAAGCCTCTGGTCCACTCAGCCCCATCCCAAAGTCACAAGCAAGGGCTATGTCTTCTCCCTCTCTTCCTCTTCCTCCACCTGCTTTTCATCTTGTGGCAATTTCCAGGAATGTTGGAGAAGATTTACAAGCTCCAGAGAAGCCCTGCAGGCCCTGACTCCAGAGTCCTTAACTGTCCCCAGCTGAGGAGGCAGAGCCCTCCGGGTCCCTGAAAATCCACCAGGTTTTCCATGCCCCTTCCTCCAGGAAACACTGCCTTTATCTTGCTTCCCACACCTGCATGGGGCTCCAGGTCAGTGGGCGCGGAGCTGGGCAACCTGAGTCAGTCGGTGCCCTTGACTGTCTCCAAAATTGTGAACACAATTTGGAACTCCTCCATATTTGGAACTCTGTGCCTCAGTTTCCCTCCTGTAATTGAAGAAGGTTGGGCTAACTCACAGAGAGCCACAATGGGCTGCAGGGTTTCCATGAACTAAATTGATATGTAAATCTGAGTGTGTCTGCATGCTTTTGGAGAGAGGGGCACAAGATGACGGAGAATTCCCAACTGCCACTGTCCACAGAGCTGTTTCTGGATAAATGCTCCCCTTCCCAGAATTCCCGAGCGCTGGAGAGGGTCTCTGACCAGCAGGCTGCTTCCTTCCAGTTCCTATGACTGCAGTGCTCTGAGCAAAGCCATCGCCTACCCTCCCTTTAACTGCAGCCACCTGCTCTGCTGTTTCATGGCGAGTAGCCTAGAGCTGGAGCCCCCTCCTCTCAGCCCAGGGGCCAGGCTTCTAGGAGGCCCTGTACTCCCTGAATCCTCTGCAGGGTCCTGCCTCAACTGGGACGAAAGGTGCTCTGGGAGCTGCCCGGTCCTCTCCTCCCACTCCCCATAATTGCCCGAGCTCGCCTCGGATTCTGGTACCTGAGAGGACGGGACCACGGTGGGCAGGAAGGAGTGTCCGACCCTCGAGATTAGCACCTCTGTCGGGAGGCTGAGTTGTGTGGTCAGTGTCTGTCACGGTCAGCAGTCAGCGGTCAGCGAGTGGGTGGTTCCCTGCCAGCTCCGGCTTCAGCTGACAAGAATCACTCTTGACTTGTCGTGGGTCACAGCCTTATTTCGGGCTGCAACAGGAGCCGGGGCCAGATGTTAAAAGCACGCAGGCCCTAGGGAAGACAGGTGCTCCGGCAGCAGGCCCTTGCAGACAGAAGAGCTTGCATCCATGGGCTCACACGCTCACCTATGCACACATCATAGTCACCTGGAAATGCTGTCAGCTGCTGAACACTTCAGCTTATTGACTGATGTATCTTGAGTGCCTGGAATGGTGCATGACAGGAACTCATTTGCAATAAGTGATGGCTGGATGGGTGGCCCCCCAGTATCTCTGCTTAGCTTATCCTTTGTTCCTTTTCTTCTTTCTTCCCTCCCTCCCTTCTCTCCATCTTTTTCACATTCTCTAAGCCTCTCTCTATGGACTGAAAAGAAATACGTCAGGACTCTGTTCTCAAGGAGCTCAGCCAGCTCAGAGTCACACCAGTAAACAAGTCTTACAGATGCACCATGGGAAAGGCTCTGGGAGAGCCAGGTAGCAAGTTAACCCAGCTCGGCCTGGAGGTTTTGAAGGCTTCCCAGAGGAGGAGGCATTTGAATCGGGCCTTGAAGGATGAGTAAGAGGGGGTAGAGAGGAGGCAAGGGCATCATGGGCACAGGACATAGCACACGTACAGTTGGCAGGTAGAGCCAGGGGCTATCAGGCAGTAGTGAGAGCTGAGGCCAGACAGGTGGGCAGGCTTTTCAGAGGGAAGCTGGGTTCCAAAGGGGTGCTGAAGAGATGAAACAGGCAGAGCAGAGGGGTCAGACTGGAAATTTTCAGAGACACCCCTGGCTGCCAAGGACTCGGACCAGACCAGAATGAAGGCTGAAGTCTGGTGAGAGCTGCAAGTGGCCAAACAGTGGCAAGGATGGAGGGGTAGAGAGGATGAGAGGCCATCAAGGGTACCCGGACGATCTCCATGTCACGGCGAGGGACCGGAAGTGGGAGAAACAGGGAAAGGCAGAGGCCAATGACTCCTGTGCTTAGTTTGGGGGTGCTGGGGTGGGCAGTAGGGAGGAGCAGGTTGGTGTAGGGGACAGATGCCGAGCTGTGTTTGAGATGAACTCAGTGTTTATTTTTACGTATTTATTTTTTATACAGAGTCTCAATACTTACTTCTGTAGTTGTGGCTGGTCTGAAACTCACCATGTACCCCAGGCTAGCCTCAGACTCATGGAATCCCCCTTCCAAGGCTAGGGGTACAGGCATGTGCCACCACACCTGACTCCAGAGCCACTCACTGTGGGGCATCTGGAATTAGGGTGTAATCACCAGCAAGCAGTCGGGGACTACGCTCAGAAGAGGCTCCAGCCGAGGTCATGATCAGTTCCCAGCATGTCAAGGGTGCCCTGGGTGGAGGGTGAGGAGCACCTGTGTCTGTGTGTCTGTGCAGACAGTCCCAGGATGCATTTAGACACCGGGTCAGGACTGAAGCCCGGCTTCTGCTATGGTCCTTCTGCTACGGTCTGCCCTGAGCCCAGCTGCCTGCCTCTGCCTGGTTTCCATCAGGCCCACGTTTCTACAGAGGAAAAGCAAGGAATATCCCGGGGGCAGACATGTGCTGTTCGGGGAATGGGATCACAGTCCCCTTCTGTAGGGAAAGGATGCCCTACCAGGAGAGGGCGATTCCCAGTGGTCTGGGTCTGGCCTCACTAGGGCTGCCTGGACTCAGATGTGGCCCCTCATAGTGACTCTCCTTCCTGCCTGGGACTCTGACCTGCTCTTATAAGGAAGCAGCCCCAGCCCGGGGGACCGGACCCTGTACAGTCCAGTGACAGTGCCACCCTGAGACCTTAGCTAGTTCAACGCTCCCAATACACTGATAATGGAGATGAGACCCAAAGGAGTGGCCTCACCCAGGGCCACCCAGAGAGTCAGGACTTCCACCCAGGCACTTCTACTGTAGGTCCAAGTTTTCCGTTCGTTCCCCATCTCTCCTCATAGCTCTAATGCCCAAGGTTCCAGCCCAGGTGTCTCAGATGTTCCCATCCATCCAGTCCTGGGGACCAAGAGGGAGGGGCTTCCGGCGGGCCTAAAATGACACAGGAGACGGAAGATTTCAGAAAGCGTTTATTGAGCTGAATTCTATAGCAGGCAGAGGCAGCACACAGGCAAGCTTTGGTGTCAGAGAAGAGGACAAGAGAGAGAAGGCCCAGAAGAAGACAGCTCTAGATAGAGCTGTGTTTTCCCAAGGCTGCCTCTCACTGGCTCTTTGGGGAAATGCAGGAAGAAATGGATCCTCTGTGCTACTGTGTCAGCTGGAGTCCTGATCATGTCCCTTCTCCGAGTCACTCTAGCCCCTGTACCCCATGCTACAAGAGACCCTTCAGCAGGTAAGGCCTTGGTAAATGCAGTAGCTCCGTATTAACTAAGCAGGAGCACCTTCTCGCCATCCTGCCAACAGGGCCAGCCTTTAGGCCACAGGGCACCTGTAATATTACTCCTTTGTTCCAAAGCTCCCCACCCAACCCTGACTCTTCCATCCTGATTCAGCTCTCCCTAGCCTCACGTGGGGGTTCCAGGTCTAAGGTCACCTTGATGGCCAGGGAATTCTACTCCTAACCCAAATCACACTCGGTCACTCACCTCTAGCGACATCCTGATATGCTTTCACCCAAACACATTTGATCCATGGCCAATTCCAGCCACCCACCACTCACTCCTTCCAAGTATCCTGAAGCTGATGTCCTGAACTCTGGTGGGCACCACTAGCCAACTCTGAAAATGAAAGAACTCTGCCACATTCCTCCCCACGTCCCTCCTGGAGACTGGAAATAGCCACTAAGGTGTAAGGGACAGGCTAGACCTGTGGCCAGACTTCCCAACGTTACTGGGTACCAGACAGGAGTTAGGCCAGCATGTGATGGGACAGATGGATGGGGCAATGTCTACTCTCCTGAGTGTGATATGGACTCTAGGACTGGGAACAGAAACTCAAGAGGGGGCACTTCCCAAATGGCCAGAAACACAGGCAGCGTCTGGCCTAACCTCTTACCTCCCCACCCAAGGTCATCTGCCCTGAATTCAAGCCCAGACTTTCCACCACTACTCTTCCCCACTTTCTGATACCATGAAACATACTTCAGCACTGAAGAGCCCTCAGTGGTCATCTGTGCCAATGCCATCCCCTGCTAGATTTCTATGCATTCTGGCTTGCACACTCTCTAACAAGGAGAGCTCTGCCTCTCTGCTTCCAGACAAGCATGCGAGGCCACGGGTAGTAGTTCAGTATCTCTTCTTCCTTTGAGCCCAGAACCCACTTTGAATGGGTCCAGAAGTGACAGATGGCCTGGAGGCCCAAACCTAAGCCTGAGGAAAGTCACTACCTTACGACGCTCTTCCCTGGAGGGGCTGAACTGGGGTGGAGAAAGTCTCATGAAATGGTGAGGGGAGAATTGTGCCGCCCCTTCTCTCCACAGGAGCTAGCAAGGCACCTTGAGCTGGCCTGGGGCATCTCTCTAAAGGTCACCGGTTAAAAATAGACCTTCTCTGCGAAGAGATGGAAAACAGCTGCCCCTGCCTAAGACTTGCTGCCAGGGAGCAGGACGGTCAAGCCAGAGCCTGGACATGGGACACAGTTTAAGCCCTGACACTGCTCGTTTGCCAGAGTCCAGAGCAGAGGGAGAAGGAAGGGGTATGGAGCCTGGAACACGGCAGGTCCAAGGGTCCATTTGCACAACCTCCCCCTCTAAGGCACCGTGTGTGTGTTGATGGAAGGGGAAATTTAGACGTTTGCAGACTGCCTTGTCCAAGGCCACGTTAAACAGATGGGAAAGCTGCGCGTCAGAAGGAGGCAGAATCCAGAGCTGTGCCACACAGGACACAGCCCGGTCACACAGCCGAGTACCAGAGCAAGGGCTAGAACCTCAGCGTGGGCGCCACTCCCTCCTCCTTTGGCCCCTTAGGTCTGAGGCCATCTAGAGCCCGGACCCCTCGGGGTCGCGGTGTTGGGTCCCCAAGCCTGATGACTTCTCGGGCTAGAGCTGGGGCTCTAGGTGCTGCACGAGGCCTCGGCGGGGAGGCTGCCGCGCTTGAGCCTCAGGCTGCCGTTCCACCCGCGGGGACAGATGTTGTAGCCGAGGATGCCAGGCGACTTAACCCCGGAGTCCTCGGAGTCCAGGGACACGTCTGAGTCCGTGGGCGAACGGCGGTAGGGGAGAGGTCTAGGTGGCGCTGGCAACGGGCTTCG